CTGAGCCAAGGTCTACCAACATTTCTATGACCACTGTAGAGTTTACTGTAGAAAAGAACTACCTAAATATTTTATTCTGAAAAGTAACATCATGATTTCCCACATGATGAAAAGTTAAAAAGAATTTTTAACATTGAAACAAGATGTACAGTTTTGTAGTGGGTATGTACATGTTCTAATGTAACACTGTTTAATATATGGGAATTTAAAAAAAAAAGTTATTATAGTGTGTTTAGGACATATAATTAAGCTAATTTCATTTAGATGCATGTTTCCATCATATTTGTTATTAAATATCCCACATTGTGAGAACAGAAGATTTGCCAACAATGATGAAAACCAGGATGCAAATTTATTGTGGATGAACAAGTTTCTTACAACATTTCACCATTCTTGACAGATCTATAATCACAGACTGAAATATCGAATAACAAAATGTGATGGAAACAAAAACAAAAAAATCTAAATGAAATTTAATGGCTTGTATACCCAAAATACATTTTTAAAAAAAGAAAAAACAGTTTTTTTTTTTCACAATTTAAAATTCCCAGCATCTCTTGTTCATGCATATGTAGTTGCATCAACATAGACAAATATAGTGATTTTCCAAGCATAGCTTAGATGTGGCACAAGGCCGAATATATGGGGCACTAGTGATGATCAAACTCACTACTCAGTTGTAAGTGTTCTAGCAAGACAATCTTGCTAACCATTACACTACCTCAAGGTGCCCAAACATAGACAAATATATGGTAACCAAACAAAAACCTAGTGGACAAAATCCCAGCCACTTATACCTAAATAAAAGAAACAAATTTAACTTTATGCTTAAAAGTGGTATTCAACCTTGCTTGATTGGTGATACTCTTTGTGGCATAGTCAGTTAAAAAATCATGTTGGATCTAAAGCTGGAGGGTGCATATTTTTCTTTAATATGATTTCTCGAATATTCAGGCCTAAAAATAAATGTACCATTTAAAATAAATAGAGCGTCTACTCAAATATGGGTATCCACTAAAAATAACATTTAATTTAAAGTGATAAAAATAATGTGGAAGTGTTACCGATTACAAGACACCCACACACACATACTGCAGATTGCGAACATGATGAATTAATTTAGGTATGTCTCATAATTTTCAGCAAGAAACTGATTGACACCAGATCTAAAATGTAATTAAAATTGAAGAAAAAAAAAAGAAGTGTGTTCCGTTATTTCTTGAATTTTAATTTTATTATAAGCTTTCCATTCATCAGTAATTATTTTTCAAAAAGTATTTCACAAAAAATGATCTACTTCTGATGATCTCAGCGAAAAGATTGCCAAGTCGATATGATGAAATAAAATTGTGGGTCAGTAAATCATTTAAAAATAAAATACAAAGGTAAATTTGCAGCTAATGCCCAATGACAAATTTAAAAAAAAATATATCATTCCTAGTGTAAAATCACTTGATTATTCCAAAAATAGCATTAAAAATTGGCAGAAATCTATCATTTAGGAAATACTGACAATTTTAGATTGGTCCCCGATTACCCTTGATAACTTCATGGATGTTTACTGGCCTTGATTGATAACAGGGACTCAACTCTAAAATTGTCGGTTAATTTGCACTATAATCCCCAAAAACCAATTTTAATGAAAAATTTCCATCATGGTGTGAAATTGCCTGATTATCTCAAAAATAATAAAAGCTTGTGGACTAATATCGTTTAGGAGTTATCGACAGTCTTAGTTGGGCTTTATTTGCATTGCATCTACACAGCCTGGTCATCATTACTGCCGTTATTTACATATGTTTGCCTTGAGTAGTAATGAGTGGAAACTTAATTAACAGCCTTTTCACTGATTTTCTTATTCATTTTGATTACTGCGCAATTTTTGTGAAAATTTAATTTAAAATGCACATGCTTTGCTTAATGCAGGATTTTTTTTTGTAGAAATGAAGCATTAAATGAATTTTTTTTTTTTTTAAATTGGTATAAATTCCTTTTTCCAATAAAATTTTGATTATATTAGTTAATCAAACAGTTTTGTATTTTTGTAAAAGTGAAACTTTAATAAATAATGAATTCTCTTTTTTAAATTGGTTTAAATTGTTTAGAAAAATAATTAAAAGTTTTTCTAAATAAACATTATGTCATGGGTGAACCTTTTTTCCAAAAAAAAAAAAAAAAAAAAACTGATAGTGTCTTACTTAATCCTTTCGGTTTAAATTTAGAATTTTGATTAATTAAGAATACATTTAAATTAAATTATTTAGAAAAGCACTGAAAAAAATATTCTTACAATATTTGTCCTTAAACCTGCAAAAAAAACAAAATTTCGCCCTAAAATGTAATTTCTCAATAAATTAATAAGTGATTTCCAAAAAAAGAACATTCGTTAAACTTTTTTTCAGTCACGTAATTTTCATTTTATTTTTCGTTTTTTCAGTTTTTTACTGCTGATATATTTGGAATAGTGAGGCTTTTTTCTGTTGGGTTACTTTTTTTAAAATTTCGCTCATTGCACAGTAATCAAGACAAGTGAAGCTTCCGTGCATTATTACTAGAGATAAATTGTAAACAAAACCAGTAATAGCGGTCGGGCTGTAGCCGCAACACGAATAAGGCAAAAAAAAAAAAAAAAAAACTACTAAAACTGCTTTCGAGCGCAAACTTTTGTTATTTTCGAAATAATCAGGCAATTTCATACCATAATGGAAATTTTTCCTTACAATTGGTTTTGGTTGGGGATTATTTAATGAAGAAAAAAAATTAATCAATATTTCCGCCAATGCTATTTTTGGAATAATTAGGCGATTTTACACCAGGAATGATATATATATTTTTTTAAATTTGTCACTCGGGAATTATCTGCAAATTTACCTCGGGAAAAGTTATTCAATTCAATAATTCTAAATTTAAATTAGTCATATTTGTGGCATGAATAAAGTAAGGTGTGGCCAAAAATTAAATGGCAAATTTTTTGTTGCTACACCGGTGTGAAAGAATATATTTGTTTTACTTTTGTAGAAAATATTCCTAATTTCACGTTGTATCATGCAATATTTTTTTTATGAGAGGTAAAAAATGATCATTTAAGTTGAATTGTTTTTAAATCGTGCTTTTCGATTAAAATAAAAATATTCTCGCTACCAAAAATATAAGGAATAAAATTAAAAATAATTTCCAAAAGAAATGAAAGCAAAGAAAAAAAAAAAAAAAAACTATACAGAAACTTAATTATTTTTAAATAAATAAATTTAAATAAAAAGATTATACACAGGATGCAGCAGAAATATCTCACATGATAATGGTAAGAAAGACTGACTAGAAAACACCATGTCATCATATTTATGTGTGGGACGTTTTCGTCCGCTCCCTCATGAGGGTGCGGACGAAATATGTTACGAAATAGTTATATGTGCCACGCGTGATACACACTTAGGCGATCAAGTATCTTTTGATACACAACTGACAAGGCAGATTTTTTCCCGCAGTAGGTTGCCATTTCTTTAGAGACCAGTTGCGATCCAAGGCTAGAACCAGCTCTGTCCTGCTATTTACCCATAGCTGGGTCAATGTATTTTGTAAAATATCCATATCATGATATGAATCTTTTTACAAAATAACCGTTTAAGAATGCGGTTTGAATAAAACTAAAAGAGAAAGAAGTTATTAAGGCGAAAAAAGTATAGAAATTGATAAGGTAATTTCAGAATCCTTTATGCGAAAGTAAACTTACACGTGTCGTATTATATTTCCTTTCTTCACAAAATAAATATTAATAAATGTGGAATAATTTCAAACAATAACAATGAGAATAAAATCGGTGAATGCAATAAAATTTATCTAACATCAAATTTAAATTTAAATGCTGAGCGTCTCTGTTTTAACGGCTGCAATGTAAAACTGTAACCGTCGTTTGTCAGGTTATTACCCTAATTTTTTTTCTCTCTCTTCAATGACATCTAAATTTTAAAATCGTTATTTTATCTGAAGAAATACCTTATCAGAATAAAAGAGGTTTCATTACAGTACACAGTTTTCCCGTCTCGTCAGTTATTTGCTCACTTGATGGAGACGGTCGAACGTAATTGAAGTTAAACAACAGTTTAAAGAAAAAGAACTTCGGACATTAACGTCAATTTTAATCTCGATGTTCAATATCCTATTCAAAAATTGGAAAAGTACAATAAAAAAAAATGATTCAGACAAACCTTGTCGGTTAAATTTTAACAAAACGTTGAATAATTTTTCTGAGTCCCTAAATATCCCAGGTGTTGAATATAAATTGCGTTTTCGGAGAACCAACTAATAATTTAAAGAATAAAATTGAGAAACAAAAAAGGAAATTATTTGACTCAAAGAGTCAAAATGTTGTACGAAACGGCGAGGAACAATAGAATATGAATAACAAGTTCAAAGCTTGGATTTTCGCAAAATAAAGTAATAGCCAAAAAGACTGAAGAGTGATAATAATTAATAATTTCCTACAAAAAAAAACGAAAAACATAAAAAATAACTTTAAAAATCATTTAATCACAAATAAAATTGTTTTAAAATTAATAATTTATCAGTTATTCATTCAACTGAACAAAATAAAAATATAAAATTAAAAATATATTAACTTTTCATGGTAGCCTTAGTGGGGATCGAACTCACTTCGATCGTACAGAATTCCCATTTATCATTTTACTTTACATGACCAGAAAAAGCATCGTTTCACAAGGAACGTGCAGTTTTATAGTTAGCTTCATCAATCGAACTCGCTCATATCTATTTTGTTTTTGAATCGTTCACCTAATAATAATATGTTCAGCTTAGTTTGACACTAGGCCATAGTAACAGGGAAATCCGTAAGCATCAAGCTCACTAAATTAGTGAAACTAAAAAAAGTTTAAAAAGTTAAATAGAACTTATTTTATTTTTTTTTCTTTTACTAGTAACTGGTTATTAATTAACAAATAAGATTAGATATTAATTAGCAACTAATTAAAAAAAAAAAAACTTACTTTTTTTTTTTTAGTTCAAAAGACCTTTTAGTTTGTACAGCCGAGTAATATTGATTGGATTTGATCTGAATGATTGAAGCGGGATTTGTTACTTTATATATCTATCTTTATACCGGATATGAGCAAAAAGGAAACTACACTGACATCAATTTTATTTTCTATACAATCAGTCATAAGATTTTTCTTAAGGGATGGTTATCAGATTTTTTTTAATTCTTTAATTTAATTTACGACTAAACAGAAACTAGTTACTGACTCAAAAGAAAAAATGTTTAAATAAATAAAATAATGTTGTTCATTTTTTTTAATTATTATTTTAATTTTTTTTGTTTAATTTAAACCATATTTTTTTTTTATATTCTTTGTCTTTTCAGCTAGCACGGCAGACGAACCTCTCTCAGCAGGCTATGAGACATAAATTCAAAACCATGTGGAAACCATTCCACTATTTCCCAAAAAGTCTTAGTGATTATTCATAAAAAACTAAAGGAATCTGTCAATTAAGGCCATGATCGCATATGTCCATTAGGGGCATGAATTTTTTTTATTTTTTATAAAACTCTTCTTAACCCCCAATTTGAATTAAATTCCGTTTTTGTTTTGTCTGAATTTCTGGAATGATGAACTATTCTCAGTGTTTCACACTACATCAGAATTCCCTGTAGGTTACCCAGATACATTCGAGTATCTGGGTTTTTATGATCAGTCTTTTTTTTTTTTTAACGGCTCGAAATAAGAGGGGGTCGCACATTAATAGACAGGTAATTTTTTTGAGGAGGTTAAAAAAAATTATGCATTTCGATTAGGTGACCGGTTTCGTTAATACACAGGTAATTTTTTTTTTTTGGTGGGGGGTAAATTCATGCAAAATACATGGGTCGCACTAGCATGAAGTCGCCCTACACAAAACTAAAAGTTTATAGTACGGTACAGGGTACACCTAATGGAAGTTGGAGGGCACAGCGACCGATACGTTGCGATAACAACAAAGATGAGGATAATGGTTGGAATAGTGCAGACATCGTTTCTTGCACAAAATCTTTAAGATTAAATTCGGTTTAAAATGAAGCGGTGTATTTTCGTCGGATGAATTTTTTTAAAATAATGTCATAGTTTTTATTGCATTTTATTTTTTTTATTTTACGATTCAGAGCAGATTTTTCGAGATTGGGGTAAAAATGGGGGTTTACAAAAAAAAAAAAAAATTGATTTATTCTCTAACGGGTCCTGATTTTAAAAACATCTTTTCTCTTTGAAATTTAATTTCTCAAATTTCATGAGATTAAGTGTGTCTGTGAGCGGGGGGAGCATATGTAAAAAAAAAAAAAAATTTTTACCAAGATTTTCTAAAACAAAAATATTTCAAAAATAATTTCATTCATTTGTGAAGTCTTGAAAATTTCATTAAAATCCGACAACTATATGATTTTTGAAAGAATTTCCAAATCTTTCGGACACGTTATTCGAGTTAAAAAAGTAGAGGTACCGTTCATCCTCTTCTCTACCTAACTTCATTTTTACTACGGAAAGGTTGCATTTTTTCGAAAAATTATGTGAGAGCGAATGAAGCGACTATCTAAAACGAGGTTTCGACCAGGAAATTGGTGTTATTCAAAATTGTCCCCTGATTTTGTGCCTGTATTTATGACAGCGAATGTTCGATTTACTGAATTGAACCTTGATTTTATAATATCCTTTTTACACAACAAAATGTGATAAAGTATAGAAACCTAAACAAGAGTAAAAAAAAAAAAATAGAAGCTACATTTTCTATTTCTTGCCGAACGGAAATAGTAACTTAACGATACAGCTAAAAAAAAAAACTAAAAATATTCAGTTCCTGGTAGCAGAAAAAAATGATGGAGTAACGAAAAAACCCAATACTAACCATAAAAACGGAATTAATTTAAAATCAAACATCTCCATAAAGTTACTTTTTAAAGTTTATTTCCAGAGAAAAAAATTCAGATTCTTAAATCAAATTTAATAATTTTTAATAATGGAAAAACTATTAACTTTTTAAAAAATACCGTATATACTCGCGTGTCATGTGACTTTTGAAGACCTAATTTTTAAACTAATTTTAAGGGGGTCGCATCATACGTGAGATATAAAATTAGCGTATGTACTGCTGGCCCTGGCTAAGCCGTGGATAAAACAAAATATCCATTTGTAGTCAAATTAGATTCAAAATTAGGTCTTCAAAGGTAGAATGATACACGATTATAACGGTATATCATTTGTATTAAAATAAAATTCCAAGGTCCTGTAGGCCATGGAGTTTAAGCCTAACCCCGAAGATTAGGTTTAAGGCTCAATGTCCACCACAGCAAATTCTCTTACTAGCGTTGTTTGTGAGTTCAATCCTTGAGCAGTATGTACTTGGACTCTGTTGAAACAGGGAAAGTAATAACTGAGCAGTGTAAGAACTAGACGGGATATCCCTGGACATGGGCAGTGGGACAAGAAGAACAGTCTACCTCCGAAAGATTAAAGGGTTCAGTTCAGAATGCCTTGTAGATTAGCCAGATTTGGGTAACCCGAGAAACGTTGTGATAACAACAAAGATGAGGACAATGGTCCGAATATAAATAATGTAAATAATAAAATTAATTTATTATTGGGATTTGTTGTTTTCTTTTTTCCCACGAAAAAAAAAAATCGGCGTCTTTCAACGCGGAAATGACTTATTTTTTTATCTTCCGTTACAAAAAAAAAGAGAGGCATTATACAAAAAAATTTCAAATCTACAGGGGAAATAGATTTTCCTAATTTTTGTGACATCTGAGGGTAATACCTCCGAGTCGTGATACAGTCTTTGACTGTAAGCGACGTCTGTCGAACTCTCTGCATTAGCAGAGAGGAACCCCGACGAAGCTTTGCCGAAGGGCAAGGTTTCGTCCGGGGAGGTAGACAGGGCCTGAACCCGTCTAGGCGGGTTCAAAGGCTATATTTTTAGCCGAGCCTACGGGCTCGGAGATACCCACATTAAACCGGCCTTGTGCCATATTCAATCCTCGTGGGTGGATCGATAAATACTAAGACAGACAGACAGAGAAGTTCTTAGCTGAGCTAGTTATTGACTACTCAGGCGATTTCTGTACCTTTTTACCAACCTATTAAAACCCTTTTTATTGTTACGTGTTATTTGGCGTTTGTCTCTACTAACCCCAAATCAACATCATAACACTTTATAAATTTCTAACGACTAACTTCTATATGCCGTGTTCCTTTAAGACATTGATGATCGTGTCTCTCCACAATTTCCCGTCCTTTGTAGCTCTTTTGTCTTTTTCCATCCCTCCCAAAACCTGTTCCGCCATTTATTCACTCAAGCTCGCCAGGTAGGCTGTGCCTTACTATCCGCTGTCTCTCTTACCTTCAATCTATCCTGCAAGTATCAAATTTTCCAAGCACTCTTTCCTCATTATGTACCCCAGAAATTTCAATTGTCTCTTCTTGCTGTTAAACGTAAGTTTCCTTTTGTAGCAGTTGTCTCTGGAACTTCGCCGTTGCTCACATGTTCGATCCAGGGTATTCGCAACATTTTTCCGTAGAACCAAGTTCTAACAAGTCTCTTCATTTGCGAGGCGATTACCCAGCATTCACTGATATTACATAACAGTTCAATACTATTGTCATTGTTTTAACGTTATTTTCCTGTTTATCAGTACTTTGCTTAGCTTTTGGAAGGCATCTTTCGATATCCCAATGCGCCTTCGGATTTTCATGGCTCACTTTTCGTCCTCTGTTAATACGCCTCTCTGATTTTGATATCTCTACTTTAGGATTTCTTCAACCGTGAACTATCATTTCTACTCCAATTTTGACATCTGTCCATATCTCTGAGATGAGGTATTATGATTACTTGCATTATTTACATTATTTGGACTGTTATCCTCATCTTCAATGTCATATTCACAACGTTTCGGTCGTTGTACTCTCCGGCCTTTATGTCATATTTCTCTGTCTATATCTCTGAGATGAGGTATTATGATTACTTGCATTATTTACATTATTCGGACTGTTATCCTCATCTTCATTGCCATATTCACAACGTTTCGGCCGCTTTCTTCAGGTGATTCGAATTTCAAACCGAACTCTTTATTTCGCCCACCGGGGTAGATTGTCCAATTTTGACGGTAATATAAAAGCGAAAATTGGAATTTTATAAAAAAATAAAATATATTCTACAACTACGTCAGATGCATTACAACTTATCCTGTACCCCTAAACTTACTTAAGGCTAGGGTTACTATAAAATGAAATGCAGAATGGGGGAGGAGATTTCTAACCATGGAGGTTTGCAGATTCCTTTAGGGATCATTTCCTAACCCGGGGTTCATGGACCTACAAAAGTAATTTTTTTTTAAATTCTAAAATTAATTATTGATTATTAAAATGTGAAAGAGAAACATGTTCCATTTTCGTTAATGCAAATGCATTTTAGTTAATGCACATCCTTCAATATCGAAATGAGGGACAGTTGGTAGACCTCGTGTGAACCCATAGCTACAATTTTATTTTTTCGCTCATACGAGAAATAATCATTTGAAACTAAAAGAAAAATCAGCACTATTATCGGTCCTGATCTGGCGGCTCGGCTTCAGTCACTTTACCACCGCCGTAAGGTTGCCTCTCTGTGTCTTTTCTATAAATACTTTCATGGTAATTGTTCGGATGAGCTCTTCGCTATGCTACCTAGACTATGAATTTAAGCGTAGCACTGGACTTGCATCAAGATCTCATCAATTTACAATTGAGTTGGCTAGAAGTAACCGTAAATTCTATACTAGAATTTTCTATTCTAGCCTGTCGAACTTCCTTCCGGCTCCATGTTTTTCAGCAGTGGTTGAAAAGATATGGCTCATACAACTTGGATTTTATTTAATCCTTATTTTCAACGTGTTAACACGAGAGCTAATCAGCATTTAGAAATGAGGTTGTGTTTGTCGTCAGGCGACGACCAATATATCAACATGATGTATTACAACCCCCTTCATTTTTTTTTTGTGGGGGGGGGGTTAATGTCTTGTACGGGGTGCGATGATAATGTTGGGTGTCTTTGTCTGTGTGTTTGCAGGGTTTAGTGTAGCGTTTCCCAACCTTTTCTCAGCCAGCGCCCCCTTAGAGCACAAACCTTTTGTCAACGCCTCCTGTCAAATTAAATTTCGAATATTATACGGAATTCATCTTTCATAGCAAGATAAAACACTTAGGTATTAGTGAAAAAATAATGTTAATACTGTTTTCATTTCTATAGAAATGCCAATGATTAAAATCCTATAAATTTTTTTTATTTGATAGCGTATCTCAATGTTTTCAATGTGATGGTTGACTTTGGTGCTTATTGGCTAAAGCTCTTACTCTAGGTTCATTTGATAGCTTATCTCAATGTTTTCAATGTGAAGGTTGACTTTGGTGCTTACTGGCTAAGGCTCTTATTCTAGGTTCCATACTTCTTGGAAGTAATCGTAGATCTCCTTATTTTGTAATTTGCAGCAGGTTTCTTTGTTTAGTAAGAAGCTCTCTAACTACGTTGAAACCACATTTAACCATATAGAAAGTTGAAAAAGCAACGAAGAAAAGTTTGATAGCTTTCCACAGCACTTTCAGAAATTTCCTTTTGTAGCCAATATTGAATAATTTTTGAAAATCTGAAAAAAATGCCCCTCCCGCCACCTGAGTATGTTCACTGCCCCTCAAATGAAATTTAAAAAAAAAACTCCCAGTACCCCCTTTCAACATAACAGAACCCACAAGGGAGCTCTATCGCCCACTTTGGGAAACACAGTTTTAGTGTTTCTTTCTTTAGTTTTGGTAGTGAGCGGTTGCTAGCACGTCACCCACTCTGCTAGTCCTCAGCGCTAGTAGTGTGATGGTGTTTTTTATGCGTATCTCTGATTATGTCCTTTTCTCAGGGGTGCCACTGCTGTTGTTTTCTGCTGGTTCGGATTCTTGTGTCGTTGTGTGAGGTATCTAACGTAGGTGGTGCCGTTTTCCTTTGAGACATTGTAAGATCTGGGCTCCGTGCATGTTAACATATTCACGGCCCTTTCCCAACTATGCATGTCTGCTGGTTTTGCATCGTCACACTTTTGGGCGTTATGGAGGGTTGGTAGGTCACTAGCACCACGGTCGTAGTACCTTCTTTCTTCTTCCCGGCGCTCTCGTAGTGTTTCATGTATTTTGTCCTTCTCTGGTTCCATATTCCGGATTCTCACCAGTAAATTTCCTCTAATTACTTTAGAGTATAGTAGCTCAGCAGGGCTTGGTTGCCTGTAGTCTATGGGTGTGATTCTCAGGCATAGTAGAACCATATTGGTGTCCGTCTTTCACCTTCTTTATTGTATTTTTTATTGTTTGCACCATTCTTTCAATGAAACCGTTGGATTGGGTATATCTTTGCGAGGAGGTGACACGTGTAAAATCCCAATCTTTGGCGAATAGCTTGAATGCTACGCTCTCATATTGTGGACCATTGTCTCTTATCACAAGTTTTGGGATTTCATGTTCCTTAAATACTGATTTCAGGGCACCTATTACTACTTTGCTTGTGCACATATTATGCATCTTGCACACAAATGGAAACTTTGAATTATAGTCAGCCACTATCAGATGTTGCAGGCTGATGTATGCGTTGAGAGACAAACACGTGCGTTTCCTAAAATGCCCACCGCATGAAAGACTCGGGATGCGAGTCCACATAAAGAAATGTGAAAAAACGACAAGAACAAATCTGTGCCTCAAAATATTGACCGAAATACATTTTGTTGATATTGTTCATAATAAAGAAGGAAGAAAGAAAGTAAAAAAACAAAGAAAGTAAAAAAAAAAAAAAAGAATGAAATAAAATTAACATGGCTAGTCGAACTGAGTAGGTAGCCTGATTGAAGCTGGAGGCATAATACAAAATCAATAACCTAACAGACAAAGCTAGTACTATAAAAGCCATGACTAATCAAGTAAGAATTTCGTTACACATAACTGGTTGGGATTACGGTCATATATTTAAACATAGGTTATCGTACAATCACTAAGGTTCAACAAAGTCGAGATAGATGTGTGACTGCTTGGGAATATCAGGTGCTGTAAGCTTGAATGTGCAGGTGGTGTAATGCATAACGGCTCGAAGCTGGAAATCGGAGAGCCAAGTTTCTATTCCAGCCAAGTTCATTATATTCATTTACGCGCAAATACTCTTGGAAAGATATGAATCCACCGCTTCTCCCTCGAGCTATGTGTTCATTAGTAGAACTTGTATTAGTAAATCATTACAATCTGAAAATATTTTCTGACTTTATTTCACCTGCAAAAAGATTGATAAACGATAAAAATAAATCAATCGATCATGTTTTGCATGTTATCAGGTGGTGGAATAGTGCCCGAACAAAAGAGAAGTGAGACGAAAAATGCTTTTTTTCCTTTTATTTTTTCACATATTTATTTTATAAAGATCTGACAATGTCACAAATTGATGAAAAGCAATAGAAATGTTGTTCTACAGAAGGATACTGAGAATACCATGGACCGAACATGTGACCAATGACTAAGTTTTAAAGAAAATGGAAACAAGAAACAAACTTTACATCAGAAAGAGACAGCTGAAATTTCTAAGGTACTAATGAGAAAAGAGAGATTGGAAAATCTGATACCCACAAGAGATACTGAAGACAAGAGGGACAGAGGAAAATAATGCTTAACCTAGCGAGCTTGTGGATGGCAGAACAGGGTTTCGGAGAGATAGCAAAAAGACAAAATTTTATTTAAGAGCTACAAAAAGGACAAGAAATTGTGGTCTTCTACGCAAGCTCCTGAGCTACGGTATCACAGAACAAATGTTTGATTTAATCCAATCATTCCTATCAAATTACGAAATGAAGGTCATTTTGAATGGATTCGCTTCTGGATTCTTTCACAATAACGCGGGTGTCTCCCAAAGCTTTATCCTGGGTCCTACTCGGTTTCTGATCTTCTCCAGTCCAAGAGGGGAATTCCACAGGTATTTTATAGACGCGGAAATCGCAAATTTAGTCATTATGATAATATTTCTGAGGCAATTTCTATTTAAAATTTCTACGTACGTATATTGTTTAAATTGAATTTAACTCCATTCTAGGATGGTCATTGTAAGTATCCCTATGAAAACTTGTTTATGTTTATTTTTTTAACAAAATGTAGCACTTCATAACAACAACAACGACGGATCTT